TACATCGGCAGCAAGATCAGCCTCATCTCCAAGGCGCAGATCCGCTACGAAGGCATCCTCTATACCATCGACACAGACAACTCCACCGTGGCGCTCGCCAAAGGTACGCCTGAGGGCCCGGCCGCTCACCGCTCACCGCTCACCGCTCACCGAGCCCAACCGCCCGCGCTCGGCCCACCCGCCAGCCAACAGCCTGCCCGCAGCCTCCCGGGCGGCGCTCTTATCGGTTTGGCGGCCCGGACCCCCGCCCGCGTCCTCCGCGCTCCCACCGCCTGCCCCGCCCCGGGGTCACTGTCTCCTCCCCCAGGGCGCCCCCCGCGACGCCTCTCGCGCTCTGCCCCCAGTGCCCCATTCCCCCCGCAGAGCGCCTCCTCCCCCCAGGGCGCCCCCCCGGCGCCCCACTATCCCCCTAAGGCGCCCCCCGCGATGCCTTTCGAGCTGTGCTCCCTCCGGGCGCCCCCTTCCCCCCCTTCGACGCCCCTCTTGTGCTGGGTGCCTTGTCTTCCTTCCACGACCTCCCCCACGACCTCCCCCAGCCACACGCGCCCCTCGCGCCGCGCCTCTCCGCCTTTTCCTCCGCGGTCGCCCGGCCGCTCCTGGTCCGCGGGGGAGCGCAACCGTCGGCCGCACAATGGTCTCCGGACCCCCTCGCCGCCGCGGCGTCATTGTGCGCGCGCCGCCCGCCCGGGCTGTGTGGTGGGGGCGGGGTCCCTCACGTGCCCACCGCACCCCACTTGCCCGCGCCTCCGGTGCCCGGTGCCCCGCCTGCCCGTGGCACCCCACCTGCCCGGCTGGGGGAGAACAGCTGGCGGGAGCAGCCGGGTCCCTGCGGGAGGAGGCGGGGCCTTCCGAGGCTGGTGGCGGGGAGGCGCGGAGCAGGCCTTCTGGAACCTATTAAGGGACTGGGGCCTTGGGCCTGAACAAACAGGCAGCCGCAGTCGGCAGCCAGGCCCCAGACGTGACCGCTTTCCTACCCGGCCGGGGCTTCCCCGGCTTTTGAGACAGGCTCAGGGACACGAACTGGGGAAGACCAGTGTTTCTGAGGCTGCCGCGGCAGGAGGTGCTTCCCACTAGTCCTTCCCAGAAGAAGGGAGCGTCTAGCGGTAGCTCAGGCGCCCGGGTTAGTAGACATGGGCCTTTGTGGACCAGGCCAGATGCCGCCCGACCCGGTGCTCCGTCCAGAGGCTGCCGTGTGGAGGCGGTCCCAAACCTGCTTAGTCAGGGGCGCAGCCGGTCCCCTGCACAGACTGCAGGGGACGCTGCGTGTGACACGAGGTACCGACCACAGAGGCTGAGGCTGCCCCCGTATCGGTGGGCGCTGTGCAGGCAGTGGAAGGGCGGTGCCTCTGCAGCTCTGGGCTCGGGACGCCCTGGGGGGCAGTCAAGTCTGCCCTCCTTCCATCCTGCTCTCCCCACAGCTGTTCAAGGCCGCTGGTGGGAAGGACAGGGGGAAAACGGCTAGCTGGCTCCGCTTGGGAACAGCCTTGGCTCCCGGGGGATGACGTGTGGTGGGGTTTCCGGCGGAGCAGCTGTGGGCTGTGGAGCTAACTCAGGCGGGAGCCGGAAGGGGTGGGGAGGCCTGCCCTTGGCGAGGCTGGAGTGGGCCGTTCCTGAAGCCATCAGCCTACGACGAGGTAGTTTGAGTCTGTTGGTGTTGTCCCTCCCGAGTAGGTGCTGAAGCGTAGGCTCTGGGTGCCGCAGGGACGGCGTTCAGGACAAGTGGCCACTGAGTCCTGTCTCCGCAAGGTGCGGCAGCTGTCACGCTGGAGAGCTGGTGTGGTGCGAGCGGCTGAGGATGCCAGGTTAACCCTTGCTTTCCTCAACCTTTCAGTGAGGTCTTTTGGGACTGAAGACCGACCCACAGAGAGGCCTGCTCCCCCGAGGGATGAGGTTTACGAATACATCATCTTCCGGGGGAGCGACATCAAAGACATCACTGTGTGCGAGCCTCCAAGGGCGCAGCCCACGCTCCCTCAGGACCCTGCCATCGTTCAGGTGAGGGGGTCCCGAGCGTGGTGTCCCAGGTGTGCTGGTGCCCAAGTGGAGTGGCTTGTCGTGTGCTTGGCCAGAGTGCTTGACGGGAGGAGCAGTCTTTTAACGAAACGAGGTTTGCTTTGCTCCTGGCTGCTGTTCTTCTGGAAGGTCTAGAGCCGGGAGCTTTTAGCAGGTGGCACGTACTGCCAGCCAGCCCTGGGGAAGGTGACTGCCGTGCATATGTATCTCTTTCTTTGTGTGTCTCCTTGTCTGTCTGTCAGTGTTTGGGGTGGCCAGATGTTTAGGTGTGTTTGGTCTGGGGTTCTTGGAGGACAGTGTTAGTCCCCTGTGTTTGGGGGGATAGAGCTAAAGCGTAGAGGGGTTGAGGGTGTGACTGGGAGGAGAGGTCCTAGCAGGACTTCAAACACTGACCGGGAGTGGACTCCTCCATCTGGGACGCTAGGTTTGCCAGCTTGGTAGCACGTGTTTAGCTGCTGTGTTACACAGCACGCTTTGTCTGTAGGGCAATCAGACATGGAGTCGTGCTCTGTTCTTTTATTATGTGAGACGTCTGTTGGTCCTCTGGGTTCATAGTGTGTCAGCCACCTGGAAGGGGGAGCAAAAGGAGCAGCACCTGGGCTGCTGGAAGGCTGAAGGCGGGGGGGTCCTTGGAGACAAGGTGGGCCAAGCCTTGCGGGACAGGAAGTAGCTGGGAATGCCCGACTGAGGCAGCAGCAGCATTTCCAGCCTAATGGGGGTAGGACGGAGGGGGGAGTCTAGGCGAGGAGGGTGGCTGCAGATAGTTCTCTAGCTCCATGCTCCAGCTCTGTGTGTGCGTGGGGGACACAGCTCACACATGGACCGAGCAGCCCAAGGACCACGAGGTTGCCTGCCAGTGGAGGCCTGCTGGCAGGTTCAGGGTGCTCCTTGTTACGGTTCCACAGACGGAGGGGGCAGATCTGGGGCTCAATCTGTGTGGGCAAGACAGCTCTCGCCCTGCTCCCAGCCTCCTGCAGCTGAGCTCTGGGATCCTCTGGCTGTTGTGGGGATCTAGGAGGACAGAGCGGGGCCTGTCCTGGTCTGACTGCAGGCTCTCTGTGTTCTTATTGTCCAGTCATCCCTGGGCTCGGCCTCTGCGTCGTCCTTCCAGCCCCATGTGCCTTACAGCCCTTTCCGGGGGATGCCACCCTACAGCCAACTGGCCGCCAGCTCCCTACTCAGTCAGCAGTACGCGGCCTCCCTCGGGTTAGGTGAGTAACCTGTCTCTCTGGTAAGTTGCCTGTGCTTGTGACCGTGAGACACAGCCACAGTCCCTGATAGCAGCAACACATCAGCTGGTTAGAAAGTTGAGTCACTACTCAGTTTAGGGCCAAAGAGGTGGCGTGTGAGCCAGAGGCAAGTAAGTTAATTTGCAGTGTCATTGTGGGCGGGAGCCGTGGCACATCTGCCACGGAGAAGTGACTGGCGTGTGGGGTGACCACCTGCACATCTGTAAGCCAGTAATCCCACAAGTGAGCTGTTGCAGTTGAGGCGGGGTCACCCCGAGTAAGGTGCTATCTTGCAGTCATCTTTGGTGGGGACACAGCCCAGCAGGTGTGTGCGTGTCCTCTGATGGTGAAGTACACAGGCCCCCATCATGGGCCACTTGCCACCAAATGTCCTGTCTCACTTGTTGCTAGTGTGACAGGTGCCCTTCTCAGCCTGCTCACTCAGTTTCCAAAACACGTCTCGTGAGTGTGTGTGCCGCGGGGGTTGCTGGGCGCCTTCTGAGCTTGCTGGACACGAGGCAGTGTGCTGTTACTTACGTGCATCCTTCCTGTTGTCACTCTTCTCTCCTTTGTCCTCCTTCAGAGAAGCTGGTGAGCCCTTCAGCCTCGGCCGCTGCCTCCAGCCCTAGCTCTTCACCATCTCCGCAGCCCGTATCCCAGCTTGACGCACCCTCGGAGCCACGCCAGCTCTCCTCCAAGGGTAACGGCCGTTTGGGGGAACTGCACACTGCCTTGCAGTGTGTTCTAAGAGTTGGAGTATAAACCAGGAGACAGGAGGACAGTAGCTGGAGCAGAGTTGACTATGCCCGAGCATCCTTCCTGACTGCCACAGGCATAGGGAAGGGTTAGAGTTGGCCTGTGTCCACTCTACGTGTGGGGAAACACGTGCTTATGGCAGGCGGAGTGGTTGCTGGGCATGGAATACACTAGTGATGGCAGGGACATGTGTCCAGATTGAAACCGCAGCGACGCATCCTTTGGTACTGTGAGTGCCCCCTTTGCTTCTTGGTCAGTGGGGGACCTGAGTGCCAGTCCAGGGTGTTGGGAAAACAGATTTCAGGCGTGTTCACAGAATGAAGCCTCTTGAAGACCTGGGCTACTGTCCCAAGCTGCTGGGCCAGTTGAGCAGAGGCCTGCCTGCTGGCTCCTGATGTTGGCGTGTCCCACCTGTTGACTGAGGGCCGGCACCCCCCAGGGTTCTTTCCCTGCCTAGAGTTTTGTCATTTTACTTAAAGTTCATGTGGACGTTTTACACATGTTCATGTTTTACACAGTATCACGTGTCTTGCTACGGCTCAGAGCTTTACTGTTAAGTGACTGTCATCCATGGTGATAACTCAGGCTTGCCTGGGTATGCGGCAGTGGTCAGTCTGGTATCTCAGGGGAGTCGTCTGAACCCTCTGTGGATGCCAGCCTGTCTGATTCGTAGGCAGTTAGGTTTCCCCCTTACAAGGTACAGTGGAGAATTCCCTTGTTCCCCGGGCCCTTTACGTACAGCTGCTTGTGGAGTGTTGGGTTTTTCTTAAAGCTGGTTTGGCTTTATGACCAGTTAATGGTCAGAGCGTGAGGCTGCCCCGAGCTGCGTGTGCATCCCTTGAGGAGGGCCTGGTGTTGGGGGCTGCTGCGCCAGATGGCGTGCGATGGCTTGTTCTGTGAGAGGACATTTAGGATACCCAGGCTGGGGCTGCCTTTTCCTGCTGGCTTGGTCATGGTGACTTTCCCACAGTGGTTTTTCTGGGTTCCATCCCATGTGAATGACGAAATGCAGTGACGGTCTTTGTATCTTTAGTTACAGCCACCCTGAGGGTAGACTCCTTGTTTCTGTCTCATACCTCCATGTTCCTCCCTGAGTCCAGGTCGAGTAGGAGCCACAGAAGCAGGAAGCTGGAGAGAAGAGGGCTGTGTGCACAGTGTGGCTGTCTCCACAGTGTGGCTGTCTCCGTTGTGGCTTAGGGTGGTCGTTTGTATTAAGACCTCCATATCCATGTTCCTAGAGGGCCAGGGAGGCCACCAGGCTTGTGTTCATTCACACCGTGTGATCGCTACGGGGAGGAGGAGCGTGGCTGGCAGTTCTCTGTTCCTCTGGGCTAATATGCTTCTACTCCAGAGAGGAGCACAACTTAGTTTTTCCAAAGTGCAGCTTTCACTGGTTTTTTGATTCTATGATATGTTAAGCTTAAAACTGGAGTATTGTGGAATTTAACTTCTATGACATTTTTCTGGAAGATTCCAGACTGGGCTGGTCTTAGCCAGCATGCACCAGAATAAAACTCATTCTCATTCTCAGATCCTGAATTTACCAGCATTTGGGGATGTTGCGCTCCTTTGGGGTTGGAAGTGTGTGGTTTGGGGACAGGTGACCTGTACCGTCTGGGGAGGCCTGTTCTAGGCAGGGCGTTTGCCCCTTCAGGGTTCCTTGATGGTGTGCTTCAAGCTCCCAGTGATGAACTGGCCTCCATGCTGGCTGGTGGTGTCAGAAGAGTGTGACCACCTTTTCTGCCAGAGCTAGCCCGAGAGAGGGGGCCCTGATGGGGCTGGGCTTGCGTCTGGTGAGAAGCTAGGCTGTTGGCATCCTTCCCCAGGGTGTCAGCATGAAGAGAGCCAGCTGCACAGTCGGGAGGCTTCCTCCTTTCTCTCTGATTTCGACCTCCCCCTTTCCACGCAGGAGCTGCTTTTCCGTCCATCCCTGTTGGCAAGAGCCCTATGGTGGAGCAGGCTGTCCAGACTGGCTCTGTCGACAGCCTGAATGCCAAAAAGCTGCTGCCCGGCAGGGGTTCCTCAGGGGTGCAGCTCAACGGTCGTCAGGCCCAGCCAAGCAGCAGGACCTCCAGCGGTACTTGAACACCACCCCCTAGGGCTCACCTCGTGCTGGCAGAGAGGGGTTCTTTAAAAACAGACCAACCGCCAGATCTCCTGGCTCCTGAGGCCACGGGTTCCTGCCGGGCGGACCTCTGCAGGGGCCCGGGCTGCTGTGCGGGTGTGGTGGTGGGCCACTTCTGTCCCTAGGCTTCCGCTTTGCAGGAGCTTTGCCTTAATCTTCTCTTTTGCGCCTCAGATGTAGCTCAGCCCGCAGCTGTCCAAGGTCAAGGGCGGGTGAATGACGAGAACAGGAGGCCTCAGAGGAGGAGATCAGGTACAGCTGTTGTCCTTCTGGTTCTGAGCACCAGGGACGACTGTGTGAGCTTTGCCTGCCACACATGCCTGCTGCCGTTAGGGTGGCAGTCTCGAGGGGCTGGGGCACCTGCCTCTGCATGCACTCGCTGCCTCAAGGTGCTGTGCCTGTTGGGTCATCTGTTGTGTCCCTAGTGGTGAGGTCTCCAGCACCAGATGACTTTTGACGTTGCCCTGGAAACATCTCACTGGGCTGGGAGTTTCAACTGGGTCCTCATTTTCTTCCCCTAGGGAACCGGCGAACAAGGAATCGCTCCAGAGGGCAAAACCGCCCAACCAGTGTGAAGGAAAACACCATCAAGTTTGAAGGCGACTTTGACTTTGAGAGTGCGAATGCTCAGTTTAATCGAGAGGAGCTGGACAAAGAATTTAAGAAGAAACTGAATTTTAAAGGTTAGACCTATTAACGTAAAACTCACCATTCCTCCAGGAGGGTGCAGAGATCGTTAGTGGTCCCGTGGAGCCAGTGGGGTGGGGACCACATCGTCGTGGGGAGAGGAGCAGGCTGAGGCCCCGTCACAAGGGCCGAGGGAGGCCAGCAGTGAGCTGTTGGCAGGCAGAGTGCCACGTGGCCTCTAGCACTCAGGAGGCCCAGGTGTGGCTGTGAGTGGGCCTCTGCCTGCCTGTGTCTGAGTGAGCTACGTGTTTGTTTATAGACGACAAAGCCGAGAAGGGAGAAGAGAAGGACCCAACGGTCGTGACCCGGAACGATGAGGCCCCTGCTGAGGAAGACCTTTTGGGACCCAACTGCTACTACGACAAGTCTAAATCGTTCTTTGACAACATCTCCTCTGAACTCAAGACCAGGTAAGCCCGGGGAGACTGTGTGCTCTGCCTACCTCGGGAGGACCAGACTGAGGCACCCTCTACAAGGTCAAGTTCACGTCAGGTGTCTTAGGCTCACGAGTGGGTCTGTCGTGACGGATAGGCCATTCCAGTGGTGCTAACCTCATTCTGTGGTAGGAGTGGCCTGGGAGAGCTCTGGCAGTCACAGGCAACTGGGGGAATGCCCAAGGTCAAGTCCATCCTTCCCTTCCCTTTCTGTCAAGGCAGGGTTTGGTGCCTCTGTCTCCAGGAGCCTGGATGTTAGTCCTGCTACACTCTCCTGCTTCCTGTTCTCCAGCTGACCTTGTGGTTGATGGCTTTGGTGCCTGGGGCAGTGGGCTGCAGCATTCGGCCTGTGATGTTTCTTCACTTGGTTCTTGAGGCCAGGACTGTGCAAGGTGCTTGTCTGTTTGGCACCTGAAGGCTGGTGCTCGGTGACGCTCTGTGTACAGCCTGGACGGTGCATGAGGCCTGCAGCACCAGCCTGGGACCGGAGATTCAGGTCCGTGCAGTGTGCAGCTAGCTTGGACCACATGCACTGCTGGGCATGGAGGATGCCCCCGAAAGCAAGATGGGGAGTACTCAGTCCCCCCCTTCCTGATGCGTACGTTCTAGCAAGGGAAACGTGTCGTGGACGAACAGGAGACAGGACAAGGGGGCATAAAGGGGGATGGTGAGGACAGTGGTGGGGCCTCCCAGATGGTCACGTTGGAGCGGTGGGTAGAGGATAAGCACTGGATGCCGTCAAGAGATGGGGCTTGTTGGGTCGTTGAGGGGTGGTGTGGGGAGCCGTGAGCAGGATGATGGTCCGCACACTCTTGTGGAGAATGGACAGGTAGTGGGCAGGCGCAGAAGCTGGTGGTCCAGAGGTAGGGTTGCTTACAGCAACCCAGGCATCTTGGAAGAGGACAGAGAAGGCTGGGTTCTGAGTGTTTGAAAGGGGAGTTGATGGGATTTGTTGGTGGGCTGTGAGGATAGTCCAGCGGCTCTAGCGTTTGAGCAGGGCAACAGCAGGGCGGGGCGAGTCTTTGGAGCTGCCACCAGGCGTGTAGGTTTGTGCACGTGAGTGCTTGGTGTGTTGAGAGGGAGGGTGCGCTGCCAGCTGCAGGAGACAGGCTCGGAATCACCCGTGGCTGGGCATGGAAGGGTGTCGGGGACAGAGTGGGGTTGTTGGTGTTGTGCGTGCTCCCCCCGCCCCCCGACACACTTCGCCTCATCCCATCCCAGCTCCTCTGGGGATGCTCACTGGTGTATGAGCTGCCCTGGGCCAGGTGCCTGTGGCGTGGCCCTTGGCATCCTCTGGCAGCCCGCCTGTGGGGAGGAGGGGCCCTGCCTTGAAGTGGGGCAGGACCCCCACCTGTGGGGGTTCCCAGCTTGAGGCTCGGCTGGGCCTTTGTCCTGGACACTAGCTGCAGCGTGGGATTGAGCTGCAGTTGGAATTCCACAGGCTTTGTCTGGGGCTCAGTTCTAGGCGCACCACATGGGCCGAGGAGAGGAAGCTTAACACAGAGACCTTTGGGGTGTCGGGAAGGTTTCTTCGTGGCCGCAGCTTCCGGGGTGGATCTCGAGGTGGCCGAGGTGCCAGCACAGCTCGCCGTACCCCAACCACCCACAGAGCTGGGACCGGTAGGGTGTGAGGTGCAGCCCGAGGTACGTGAGGGCTCTGCAGGCTGCTGGAGGTGGGCATCTGGATGGGAGTCTTTTCAGGACAAACCGGAGCTGCTGGGTGTAAAAGCCTGGAGGGCTTGAGGCCACCTGAGATCTGTGACCCTGTCGGCCCCTTGGGAGTGCTTAGAAACGGTCCTGCCTGGGACAGCGAGGGTGTACGCCGCCCTTCACTGTTGGGCAGTGGCCCCCAGAGGTCGGGAGGCAGGCCCGTGTAGCACTCTCCGCCTGTGCCCCACCCACCTGCCCCAAGTCAGCAGGTGGCTGTGGTCCCCAGGGTACTTGTGTGGGCGACAGGTGTGCCCAGTGCTGACCCACTCCAGTCCTGGAGGTGGCCAGAGGGGACCTGCAGGAGCTGGGGCTTACCAGGGTGGGCCTCGTGCCAGGAGCTGCTGCCCGACTTCATGGGGGCGTTGGGTTGCAATGGAGCCTGGGTCGGGTGGGTAGTTGAGCAGTTGGTTCTGGGCCCTGCTCAAAACCAATGCAGCACCATGGTTTCTTTGCAGGCTCCCGCTGAGGTGGCACAGAGGTGAAGCTGTGTTCATGAGGACGTGGGGAAGACGCCGCACTTCCTGTGGGGATGTGGGTCGCTTTGTTTACTGTGGAAAATTCCCGTTCTGCTACTTGTGTTTTGGACTTTGCGGCACAGTCCGTCTGAGTTGGTGGGAGCCGCTTGTTTGGGGGAACTGTCCCGGGGGGCCTCTGGGAGGTGACCTGGCCCGTTTTTCCTTTTTGGTGCACACAGCTACTTCCCAGGTTTGGCATTTTCAGGAAGGGCTCCACGGCGAGAGCTCGGGCCTCAATGTAGTGACTTTATGACAGGTCTGACTTGAAAGTGGAACCTAGTTGCGTCTGGCCAAGGTGGCAGGCAGTTACGGCTCTGCAGCCGATTGGCCTGTGGTGCTGCTGGCCTGTCACCCTTTCTGCCCAGGGCGGGGCCCCAGGAGCCAGGACCAGCGGGGGAGCGTGGGGACCTAGGGTGGGGGAGGTGGGGTGTCAGGCAGATCATGTTACAAGCAAACCAGGGTGCCCCGATGTCTGCAGCAGGGCTGTCAAGGCTGGGCCTTGGGGCTGGGGGACTGGCAAGACCCCTGGGAATATAAGTCGAGGGCCCTGAACTTAGTGTCTCAGCGGCACAGAGCCTGCTTCCAGAGGAGTGAGTTTGGGGTCCAAGACCAGGGTTGGCCTCCTGCTGGGCCCTGGCAGAGGACAGGTGTCCTCTTCCACTTTGGAAAGAGCCTGTCTTTGTAAGGTCAGCTGACCGAGAGCATATCTCCTCTCAGTTGTAAATAGTTCTGTTTTTGTTCTCAAGGGGGGGAGGGGCGGGCATATAAACTTGTTGCATGAGTAGGTCAGGCCTTAGCGGAGCACGCGGCCCTGATGGCAAGGCATTTTGTTGAAAGCAAGCACCTTGGTAAGAGCCCCCGAGCAGCCATGAAGGCTCAGTTGTGTATTGATTGCATTCCTGCAAAGCCTGCATTTATTTTTGTAGGACTTTACGGCTAAGAGTTAGAACATGACAGTGGGGCTGTTTGGGTGGAGTGACGTGATGGTGAATAAACACACAGATGTTTATGTTCTGCTCTTTTGCTTTGATGTGCTTGCATCAGGTGGTCCCATTGAGGGTGGCCCAGATCACGCCTGGCGTCCCATCCACGCTCCTGTCTGAGAACCCCGTTCCCAGGCCAGGCACACACTGGGGAGCACATTGGCAGAACCACGGCGGGGAGAGGGGGCGTCTGGTGGTCTTGAGGATGAGATGGCTGGGTTGGTTAAGTGCAGTGGGACAGGCCTGGGTCCACTGTGGGTGGCCAGGGGCTTTGCTTTCCAGAAACTTTGGGCACCAGTGACAGGTAGGTAACCTGCTGAAGTAGTGGCCCCTTCACTGCTTGGAAAGAGCTGCCACGCTTGTGTTCCTGGGGGCGTAGGCGATGACGCCTAGGGCTGCCCGCCACAGGAGAGCGGGCATAGTCGCTGGCCCGAGGCTGAGCACAGCTGCCCTCGCTGTTGGAACTCCCGGGTGATGGCTGAAGCCATCCTCAGAGTAGGAGGGACCGCCAGTAAGCTGTACCAACTGTACTTTCCAACTGTACAGCAGGCCGTACTTAAGGTGGGTGGTCATGTGCGGTGCACACAGGTGATCTGGCACTCCCTGAGACACGGGGGCAGCACTGCCTGAACGTTGGCTCAGCTCACAGTGGACGGTCTGGGCACCAGAATGTGCACAGGTTCTTTGCGGTGTTTTGGTAGCAGTCATCCCTGAGCAGTAGAAACAAAGCCACCGTGGTACACACGGTTGACACAGAACTGTGGCCACCAGCTCTGCCAGCAGGTGACCTGGCACGTGCACCACACCGGCTGATGCTGACCGTTGTCGGGATGGTTACACACTTGATGCTGAGCTAACGTGTGGGCCACTTCCATCTTCCAGAAAGTAGGTGTGCCCTGACAGGTCAAGAGAACCTTGAGCCTAGCTGTGGGGTGGGAAGGGGTGACCCAAGGACCCAGGGCCCTCAGTGTGACGCCAGAATAGCAACGTGTTAACCACAGAGCTGGGCCTGTGACTTGGTCTTGAACCCGGGGCATCAGGCACCCGACCCGTGTAGCATGAGTGTTCAGGCCCAGGTTACTGTTGGTATCCATGAAAGGAGCTTATGGGGCAGCAGTTAACATTACGTTAACTACTGTGGGACCAGAAAGCAAGGTGGGAGGAGCAGGTTTGAGTGTTGTGTGCGTGCGTGCGGACGACCAGGAGGTTCTACCACAAAGATGTCCCTGAAGCCCCAGACAGCGAACAAGTCCAAACAGCGCTGTGCACAACCCGAGTTAAAAGTAGAAGCAGGGCTTTTGTGCCATGTCTTGAGGTCATACGTTCGTTCTGGCTGGAGTGGTGCTCGGAAGGACACAGGCCACGCTGACCCCGGAGCCCTAACCTCAGGCCAACACTGGTGGCCACAGCAGCAGCCCATTCCCCCAAAGCAAACAGCTGGACCGTCTGAGGCAGCGAGAAAAGCCCAAGTCAAAGTGCTGAGACCTCAGAAGTGAGTCTGTCCCAAAGAGCCGCTGTAGTTACCATGCAAAGCACATTGTCTTAAAACACAGATTAAAAAAACCAAGGTTTATTGTTGGACACTGGTTTGGATCAGTGGAATGAGGCCCGAGGGAGCTGCCACTCGCAGGCTCACACGTCACGAGGCTTTCTTTTGCTTCTTCTTTTCATTTTCTTCTTTCTCCTTTTCAATTTCTGCAACGTATCTCTCGATTTCTTCAGGATTTAAAATCTACCGCAAGAGTCTGTGGTTAGCCTCAGGCCCTACCTGGTGCCAAACCAGAGTACCCCACCCCGATCTCGTGGCTCGGCTACGCTAGTGGCACCACGGAGACCAACTGCCCGCCTCTGGGAAGGGACTTTAGTAAAGGAAGCTCATGGGTACCCGATGTAGGGAGTGACTGCGTGCCTAGACCCCGCCGAGCACAGGGAGAAATGGCCCCTAGTCACCGGGCGGGAGTGGATGCGTGCCATCCTAACAGGAAGTAGGGAAGCTCGTGTCTTTGGGCACAGCCGGGGCCACCTGAGAACGGTGTCCTACAGTGGTTCCAACCCCCCTCACTGCTCATCGGGAGGTGGCTGAGGGAGCGGGACCGCGTGCTCTTTACCTTTAGGGGCTGATCACGCCGCATCACAGCCAGCTCGATGTTTTTGCCCCCTGACTGAACGACCTGAAGGGTTGAGACAACGTCGAGACCACGATGTGCCTCTCCTACCTCAACACCACAGGAAACTCCTTACAAAGTCCTAGCGCCTACCACCTCTGTCCCGAGTACACGTGGCCGTGCGACATCCCCACAGCACGCAAGCGTGCTCTCGTCTCCCAGCTGTCGAAGCTTCTCAGGTGCAAGGTCCTCTCTCCTGCTCAGCTCACTCACTGCCCCCCCCCAACCATTCTAACCATCGCCCTCAAGGTCGACTTCACGCTGACCAAGCTGTGACCCGAACAGCAGCTGGCACGGCAGACGCTCAGGCCCCAGCCACTGCCTCCCCGTCACCCACCCTCATCCTGTCCTGACCCTTCTGTGCACCCCAGGGCTGCTGCCTCCACATGGGGGAGGCACACCTACCTCCAGAAGGGCCTTGATAACGAGCTTGATGGCCAAGTCGTCTGTCTCAATGGCTTCATCGGTGTAGTTCTTCTCCAGGAATTCACGCACCGACTTGGCCCCACGACCGATAGCATTAGCCTGAAATACAGGGGTTCCGCACGGTGCAGGGAGTGCAGGCCAGAGCCCCCATGCGGCCAGCCCGCCATGCCTGTGTTCCAGAGGTGGGACCTATCCTACAGCGCCCTCTCTTCTGAGAGCTGGTGCTGACAGTGACAAAAGGAAGACTGCACACTCGTGTCATCGTGAAAGGCACGGGGAGCCTTTCGCCGACACTGTGTGCTCACACCTCACCATCCTTGGACGGCCTCCCAAAGCACTGCTGAGACCCTGCTCTAATGTCATGAGGATCATCGGACAACCCTGTTCTGTGTGTGCGTGTGTGCACCTGCCACCTAAGTTCACCGATTCAGGCGCACCACTTGTAAACGGCACCCACCCAGACGCACCTTCCAAGCGTGGTATGTACCCGAAGGGTCGGTCTGATACAGTCTGGGTGTGCCATCAAAGTCAAAGCCCACAATGAGGGCGGAGATGCCAAACGGCCTGCGTCCGTTGCTCTGTGTGTAACGCTGTCGGGAAAGGAGACAAGTCAGTGCCCCTTCTTCCAGCCTCCACACCACCATGAAAGGCCACGAGAAATACCAATGGCATCGCTATGGTCTCCCTAAAACGCCTAGGGAAATGAGAAGACTTTAAACCACTTGGCCCCCTTTTGGGCCTTGTGACTCAAACAACAGGCAAAACTGGCCCAGGGCTTCCAACCTTGCTCTGTGCATTTTCATCCCCCTCAGACCTGCCTGCGACCAGCCAGGTGCAGAAGCAAGGGGAGGGTCTCCGGGGGGAGGGTCCCCAGTGCGCTTCGAGGCCAGCTTCCCAGGAGCCTCTCCCTCCAGCCGGGACTGCCCCGTGCCACCCAATGGAAGCAGAAAGCCGCAGAGAACAGACGTGTGCGAGGGGACATGTGGACATGAGGAGTGTTCCTAAGGGCATCCCAGTGTGTGACTGCCCCTTCAAGTGACAGGACACTTTCCAAGTCAGGCCCGTGCCCACCTGCTTCAGACTGGCTATGTAGCGAGTGATGTACTCCACAGTGACCGGGTCCTCCACCGTCAGGCGGTGGCTCTGACACTCCACTCGGGCCCTGTTGATGACGATCCTGGCATCCGCGGTGAGGCCTGCAATGACAGCAAGGTGGGCTTCCTGCCTGAGCCCCACCCGTCTGGGCCAGCGAGCTGGCACATGGGGCACAGGACAGCAGCTGCCTCGGCCAAGGGTCCCAGACTAGCCTTGTGAAGCCAAGCCCAGGCTATCTGAGTGCATGCCAGCAGGGTGGACCCCCCGCAACTGCCCGAGGAAGCGTACATCATGTGGTACTTAACCACACCGAGTCAGCCCTCTTGGAGTCCTAGTATAAGGCAAGGCAGCCCCCCAGAACTGCGATGAAAAGCACTCAACACACTAAGAACTGGGGACAAGCACACGCCGCCGGAGAAAGCCCGCGCTTCTCCCGGTCACAAAAGAACAGAAAAATGGCAGTGCGAGGTGGAAGACAAGCCTCCTTGCCCTGGAAGTGCCACAGCTCCTGGAGCTGAGCGGTGGCCTGTGACACTCTGCCCAATGCTTTCGAGTCCCACATCCATTTCATTACGGATTGAACTGGGTCCCCCCACGTAGGTGCTGCAAATCCGATCCCCGTGGGTGGGATTCTCCCTGGGAACACGGTTTTGTCCTGGCGCAGGGCGGTCGAGAGCAGGTCCAGCCCAGGGGCAGGATGGGGACAGAGCTCCCTGCGTGTCTCTGGGGAGCGCCAGAGAAGCTGAGACGGGAATTTTCCTCCGGAGCAGGCAGCCTCCCCCTGGAGCCTGTGGTGCTCTGAGTCTACAGCCTCAGCCTCCTGAGCTGAGAGAGCAGATGTCTGATCATCGGAGCCGCCCACCTGTCACAGCCGCACTGGGGGACTAAGACACTGGTCACTGGTTCGGGCTGACCAGCTGACATGTCCCGATAGCTCTGCCCGCTGTGGGACTCGCACCTGCGAACGCCATGCAGACGTTGTCGTCCAGAGCACAGATCTTCCGCACCGTTCTCTCATCCTGCAGCTTGGCCACGGATTTCTTCTCCACTCCCAGGACAACAATATCTCGTCCCCGGACACCGACCTTCAAAAATCACGAGACCATACGACAAAGTGGGCGAGGCTCTGCTGCCAGGCGAAGATGCACCACCAGGTGGTTTCACTGTGGCTCAAGCAAGCTTCCTGAGGGCACAGCCCACACGCCCCACACGCCCTGCAAACCCTGGGCATCGATCCTCTACTGGACAGCTGGCCCAGGCACCCTCACCTAAGGGGCCCAGTGCCGAGCTCTGAGAATACTGGCGGTGGGTCCCGTCACGTCGTGCAGAAATGACTACGACAGCCAGCATGAGTGCGGGCTGCTTCTACCTAAGGAGCCCCAAGTCACCCTGTCAGTGGGTGCCAGCAAGTCGATTCTGACTCACAGCGAGCCCCGTATGCAGCAGAACCACCCCGGAGGATTTCCCAGGCTGCAACCTGGGCGACAACAAATCACCAGGTCTTTCTTCCACGCAGCCGTTTTGGTCAACAGCTGAGTTTAACCATTGTACCACCAGAACCCCTTAGCGCTGAAGTCAAGTATTCTGAGTCTGTAGTGGGGAAAGCACCAACGAGCGCCTGGCATGTCACATGCCGATGCACACAGCTGTGCAAGGGCCTGACTTGCCACTGGGGATGATGGGGCCAACTGGCAAACACTCCCCTTCAGCGGCCGACAGTGCTGACGGCAGAATGTGGCTACAGGGCCAAGGGCTGAAAACCAGCAACATCCCCATCAAGACAGGAGCTGACCTAGCGGGACGACCACTCGCGTAAGCAGCCCCTTCTGATTAAGAGCTGTGTGTCCCATGGGTGGCACTGCTGACCTCCTGGGCTGTGCACTGCAGGGGGCTTAGCAGCATCCCCGCCTCTCCTGCCAAATGCTGGGAGCTCCCCTCCCGCCCCTTGCCTACCGAAAATCTGTCCTGACGTTGCCAAATGTACAGTCCCCCGCAAAATCATCCTCGGTTAGGAACCATCTAACCTGGCCCAGAGATCTGCGGGCGGCCGACGCAGGTTTTGGGCCTGCCTTCAAAGCAGTTAAAAGTTGTAGAAACCACAACGGGAACGCCCACCACAGCTCCCTGCTCCCGGGTGGAAACCTCCCGGTGCCAGGCAAAAAAACCAAGTCCAGTGCAGCGTTGGCAGTGACGACGGCCGGGGGCGCCCCCTGAACCTGAGCACATCTGACCGTTCACGGATGGTGGTGCCAAGGCGCCCGCGGTCACTGGCCGGGCGTTTGCGCAGTGGTCAGATCCAGGGACGCCCTTGTCCTCGGCTGGAGCTGCCGACACCGCGAGCCAGTCAGCCCCTCTTTGTTCTCCGAGCCCGCCACGACCTTTGTGCACAGAGGGGACCCCAATAACTCGGAACTGCGGAGTACTGTCTCCCAAGGCCCGAGGGAGTAGGCGGGTCCTCCGCGCCCCCGCGCGGTGCAAAGGTGACCGCGCAAAGATGGCCGTGCTGAGCGCGCCCGTCAGAAACTAGCTTCGGTTCACACCGAACGGCGTACGTCCCCGGCCGGCTCCACGGGAATAGAAGCCGGTCTCCCCACAGCAGACAACCACCGACAGCGCAGGCCCAGGTCCACGGCCCCTTCCGCTTTCTCCGCGGACACCAGCGTCCGTGCTCCGCCACTGAGCTCCCTGCAAACGGCGGACCCCCGGGCAGTCCCGGAAAACGAGTTGCCGCCGCGGCTCGGGCAAGGCGAGGCGGTCAAGGCCGAGCTGCGCGCGGCCAGCCCAGGTTCGGGGAAGGTCCTGGGGCAGGAGACGCCGCTCCGGGCGCAGGCAGCTGCGCGCGCGGAGCACCGGCCAGACGGCGGCTCTCCGGCGACCCGCGCCGAGCCCCGTGAGCAGCCCCGCCAGCTCGGGGAAGCCCCGGCCCAATGGCGGCGGATTCCAAAGCGCGCATGTCCCGGGAGCCGGGATGCGCTCCCTCCCCGAGGAGCGCCGGGCTCCCGCCGCGCCCCGGCCCTGCGCGGCCCACTTCCGCCCGGATCCCCGGGCTCGCGCAGGCCTCGGCCCGGCTGGCCTTACCGCGGTGGAGCCCTTCTTCACGGCCTCCTGTGCGTACTCCACTTGGAAGAGGTGCCCGTCGGGCGAGAAGACGGTGATGGCCCGGTCGTAGCTCATGGCCGGGCGCGGCGCTGCCGACCCGCCGAGGAGACCCGACCGCAGACGAGCGCGTTCCTGCTTAAAAGCGCACACTCATGCGCCGCTGCGACTGACTCACGACACCGGCGTCCAGCCTACGCTGCCGACGCACGGCTCCTCGGCCGACAGCAGCCTACGCTGCCGGCGCACAGCTACGTTGCCGACGGAGCCCTACGCAGCCGACGCACGGCTCCTCGGCCGACAGCGGCCTACGCTGCTGGCGCACGGCTA